GTACTGAGCTTTATTAGTAGGGGCATAGAGTATAAGAGTAGGGAGGTTATGGTTAATCTATACAAAACACTGGTTAGGCCTCAGCTGGAGTACTGCGTCCAGTTCTGGGCACCTTACTTCAGGAAGGACATTAAGGCACTGGAAAGGGTGCAGAGGAGATTCACGAGAATGATACCAGGAATGGGGAACCTTAGCTATGAGGACAGGCTGGAGAAGTTAGGACTTTTCCCATTAGAGCAGAGAAGGTTACACGGGGACCTGATAGAGGTCTTCAAGATCATGAAAGGTTTTGACAGGCGAGATAGGGAAAAGCTGTTTCCGCTGGTAGGTGTGTCTGTGACCCGTGGTCACAGTCTTAAGATATCTACCAAAAGAAGCAGAGGGGAGGTTAGAAGAAATTTTTTCACTCAGCGAGTTGTTCGAATTTGGAATGATCTGCCCGAAAGGGCAGTGAAGTCCGATTCGATAACAGCATTTAAGAGAGAACTGGATAGGTATCTGGGGAAGAAGGATTTGCAGGGTTATGGGGAGAAAGCTGGTGAGTGGGGTTAGTGAAAGTGACTTGCTCTGTCAAAGAGCCGGCACAGACTCGATGGGCCGAATGGCCTCCTTCTGTGCTGTAACATTCTATGAATAACCCTCGCATTTGATGCAGCGCCTTTCACATCAGGAGGACATCTCTTAAGCACTTCACAGGATATACTGTAAATTGTAGTGACTGTAAATTGTAGTGACTGTATTTTGTAGGCGAACAGGACAGTCGTTTTTCACACAGCAAATGTCCCACACACAGCCGTGAAGTGAACAGTCTTATTTTATTTGAGGGATTGTTGGCCAGGACACCAGGAGAAACTCTTTTCGAACAGTGCTGTAGGATCTTTAACATCCATCTGAACAGGCAAACAGTTTGACATTTCATCCAAAGGAGGGACCTCCAACAATGTAGTGGTTTCTCTTTTTGCACCTCCCACCCCTGCATTGAAATTAATTTTACATCATGAGAGAAAGGACACAGATTCCAAAACATCCTTGAGTTGTAGGAACAAAAGAAAAGGTTGTGCAGAGCAGCAACAGGCAGAGAATATAGTTGTGCTGTCAGATACTCATCCAATATTTGTGATGCCCTTCAAGCTGCAGTGAACACATTTTGATTTTTGAATACATTTGAATAAAACTGCAGTCTAAGACACTCTTTCAAATCCATGCAAACATGTGCTGTGTTTGTTGTAATTTGCATTATTGAAGCATTCACAAGTTGGGTTTCTATGTTGATAAAGGGTACAAGGTATTATTGAATCAAAGGTTGCCCTTTGGACTCTTAGTTACCTGTACGATATTTAAGTGTAATGGAGATGTTTTGCTTCGTTGAGGTTGGACAGATAATGAGGCCAAGGGCTTAAAAGGGAACCTCTAACAACACACCGAGATCTGTAATCTCGTACAGTATTTAATTCTGGATATTTATGCTTTTTGTTTCCCTGCATCTAGAGTCTGTCTCCACAGGAGAGAGCAGTCTACAAGGAATACACTGCAAGCGTAAGTCATTCAGCCACATTTTGCCAAACCACAATTCTCTCTTCGTAAATCTAGCTAGATCTACAGTTCTAGCCAGGCTCCACTGGCTCCCTATTGCCGAACGGATCGATATCAAGATCCTTACAATCATTTTAAAATCCCTTCATGCCCTGACACATCCCTACGTCTCAGACCTGCGTAGCCCCCAACCCGACCTGCTTAGCCGCTGCTCAATTGGCTCCAGCATGTCCCTCGTGCTCTCCATTCACCAGAATAAAATGCAGGGGTATTGGCCTTGAGTGGGGGGATACAGGTAAATGAGAGTGATGAAGGATTTCTGTTTCAAAGCAGAGACAGTGGGTCAAATGCCCTCCTTCTGTGTTGGCAAGTTCCACGATGTCTTCTGCCTTCAGTGTTTCGCCACGCAATCACATAAAATGTCCTCACTAACGCCGTGGCAAGACCAGTTATTTTACATTGTTGTGTGACCCATTGCTTGTGGGCAGGATGAATCCACCTGAAGTTCTCCCTATTAAGGTCTACTACTGTCTCATATATATTGGGGGTTGGGGAAGGGTCTTGTGATTGATTGGTGCTGGTAGCTTGTGCTCTGGGACCAGAGACTGAATCTTTACTCTATTATCGTTGGCAGAAACGCAAGAGCACCACAAAGCCCCAGGCTCCGAATCCCAAAGTGAAAGTCACGTTGCAAACACAGAATGCGACGGTAAGTACCCCTTGGGCTTGCCACTCATTGCAGTACCGAGCAGGTTGAGATACAAACATATCTGAGCATGCCTAGTCACTCCTTTGCTCTGAGATCTTCTAGGAGTTGAGGTTTCAGAAGCTGCCTGACATACAGGAGGTTAACTCTGGAAAATATTATTTACATTGCAAGTCACTATTTACAGTGGTTGTGTTCGAGGGCCTTCACATCTATATCATACCTGCGTTGGTAGTTAGGTAGGGTAGTAAATAGTGAAGAAGATTGTGACGGACTGCAGGCAGACATACACAGAATGGTGGAATGGGCTGACATGTGGCAGATGGATTTCAATGTAGATAAGTGCAAAGTGATACACCTGAGTTCAATTCCAGGCAGAGGGCGAAACCTTGGGCAAGTTTCCTTACTCCACACGCCTAATAATCCCTCCAAAACCAAAAACAATAATAAATTGGTCACTTTCAATCTACGACTGTTTGTGGGACATTGCTGTGCGCAATTGGCTGCCGCGTTCGCCCACAAATATACAGTCAATTCACTTTACAGTGTGTGTTCTGTGAAGCGCTTTGGGATGTCCTCCCGACGTGAAAAGCGCTATATCAAATGCAAGGATTATTATTATTATTATGTAAGAAAAACGATAGGAGGCAATATCGACTTGGTAGCTCAATCTTAAGGGGGGTGAACGTACAGAGAGATCTGGGTGTTCAAGTAAGTGATTCATTGAAGGTGGCAGAGCAGGTAGATAAGGCAATAAAAAGGGCATTTGGTGTACTGAGCTTCATTAGTAGGGGCATAGAGTATAAGAGTAGGGAGCTTATGCTTAATCTGTACAAAACACTGGTTAGGCCTCAGCTGGAGTACTGCGTCCAGTTCTGGGCACCTTACCTCAGGAAGGATATTAAGGCACTGGAAAGGGTGCAGAGGAGATTCACGAGAATGATACCAGGAATGGGGAACCTTAGCTATGAGGACAGGCTGGAGAAGTTAGGACTTTTCCCATTAGAGCCGAGAAGGTTACGCGGGGACCTGATAGAGGTCTTCAAGATCATGAAAGGTTTTGACAGGCTAGATAGGGAAAAGCTGTTTCCACTGGTAGGTGTGTCTGACTCGTGGTCACAGTTTTAAGATATCTACCAAAAGAAGCAGAGGGGAGGTTAGAAGAAATTTTTTCACTCAGCGAGTTGTTAGAATTTGGAATGATCTGCCCGAAAGGGCAGTGAAGTCCGATTCGATAACAACATTTAAGAGAGAACTGGATAGGTATCTGGGGAAGACAGGTTTGCAGGGTTATGGGGAGAAAGCTGGTGAGTGGGGTTAATAAAAGTCAGTTGCTCTGTCAAAGAGCCGGCACAGACTCGATGGGCCGAATGGCCTCCTTCTGTGCCGTAACATTCTATGATTCTATATTCAAACAAACTTTTTTCCGCCAAATGTTTTTGTAAAAAAAGTAAATTGATCTTTATTTGGTCCATCAGTTTATAAACACGAAATTCAGGAACCGATTCCCAAACCTGAGCTTGCAAACTCTCGACACGTCTCAAAGGCAAGTTACTGGTAGGAGCTGAACATTGAATGTTTATGAACTTTTCACAATAGCTGCTGGTGTAGTCTTTACTGTTAATCTATGAACAGTGACAAGCTCTTGTTCTGATCGGTCCAGGATCCTGACTTGTTTCTAGGCGACAAACAAATCCTGACATTTGCAAACAAAAGATGCTAAACATTACGGAAAAGTGATACAGAAATAGTAACTGCAAGTTACAAGTTGTAATATTCATCTAAGACGCTCACTTCACAAACCTGTATTCGTGCTTTGAATCCAAATTACAAAGGCACTTGAAAGCACAAGTATGGAACATGAGGAACATCAATTTGCCAAAATTGGACTTGGCATTAGCCTCCAGGACTTAAAGAATTTTGGTATAAGTTAAAATTCAGCTTTGTCTTCAAAAATAAGATTAAATCGAAGAATTTTCTTAAATCTTGAAGACTACAGGGATTAAGATTAAGACAAGAGGAGTTTCAAACTCAGATGATCAGCAGGTCGCACTGAAGAGAGAACACTTTAGATGAGACAACAAAGTCTGCTTGTCTGTCTAGACTCGAGGCAAATAATTCTCAAAATGGTGCTACTCCACAATAACAATGATCCTTGCTTTTGATATGGTGCCTATTAACACAATAACAATATAATTTACGCTTATACAGTACCTTTCATGTCAGGAGGACATTTCAAAGCATTTCAAAGTTTTCCATAAAGTGTATTGACTTCTGTATTTGTAAATAAACATGGCAGCCAATTCTGCATAGAAAGTTTCCACAAACAGCCATGAAGTGAATGACCAATTTTATCTGGAATATTGTTGGCCAGGACACTAGGAGAAACTCTCTTCTAAGTAATATCACGGGATCTCTTAACATTCACCTGAACAGGCAGATGAGACCTTGGTTTACCATCTCAGCCATCGAACGGCACATCCACAATATGTAGTGCTCCAAAAGTTCTGACCAACTAAGCTAGATTTTCTAAACAGGAGTACACATTAAAAACTGCACAACTAAATGGACAGTATTGTCGAACTGTGCTGATTAAGCTTGATAAAAAACAAATGGTTTGGAATTCATGTTTTTATTCTTATCTACTGTTGTCTCAGGATTCGCTCATACTGCTAAGAAAACAACTTGCATTTATATAGCACCCTTTGCATGGAGCAGCATCTCGGAAGTGTTAATAAAGTTCAGTACAAGACAGAGGAAACACTGAAGAACAAATTGCATATTTTAATATTTGCTGAACATAAATGACCACAATCAACATTCTTTTCTCATACTCAATAACCAGCAGATTTGACGAAAATATAGAAGCTTCAGGCTGAGTTGAACAATTATAAGCTAAATCAAAATAAACTCCTTTTTTTGGCTCATTATTTCAAATGCATCTTGTGAAAGTTTTAGAGTAAAGAAAAGAGGAATGACTGAGTGATGCTGCCTATTAAACAATGACCTCTGTTATTTTAAGCCATCACAATTCATGTCCCAATGGGGGGTCTAAGTTTGCAGTATTTCTTAAAGAGGATTCCCTTAATGAGGAACCAGAGTCCCACGTACGAGGCCCCCTTCTATCAACCAGAAGTAAATCATGAAACTCTGATAATATCTACTTCTGAAGCACAGTTAACAGAGACAGGAATAATAACAGGATTCCTTCTTAAGGAATAGGGTTAAGAAATAATGCAAATGACGGCAAATCAGACCTCAATTTGCTGGAAGAATAAGTCCTAATTGAAATGTTCTTGGGTAGCTAGCTTTCCATTCATATTTTATCGCCTGGCTCTCAGTATATACAAAAATATAGAACAGAAGAAATCTTTGCAGGTTTCCATTCCTGGCTTCTCAGGTGTATGGAGTGAGTGGCTAAGAGGCAGAGAAGGATTCGTCAGGTAGCTCAGCTAACAGGAAATCAAGGTCATCTGCAGAGAAAGAATAGGTTAAAAAGTTGTAGTCAGCAGTTTGGACATGTGAGGTTCCTTCCCTGAAACCTCTTGGTTTTTTTCACAACGCATTAACCACTTTGAGAAGGATTCAGTTCGACAATGTCAGGACTAAGCACCTCTTTCCCTTTAAATGTGGCTGAAACCAACATCGAATAATGTGTTGAGACGTCCGTCTACAATAGAAGTCATGTGTTGTCACCAAATGAAAATAGAGACCACTTTATCTTTTGGGTTTCCAAACCGACGACGTGAATTTATAATTATGCAAGTACTCACTCCGTTGCAATTTAAACGCAAAGCCACGAGACAACAGATACTAAGTGATTTGGAAGTGTTGAAAAAACTGGAACTATATGCTAAGTGGGCAGCTGAACTCTGAGACAGCTACAGTGAATGCCAGTACCAATTCCTTTAGAAGGATAACAGCCAAGAAAACAAGGGACTTGGATTTCAATGAACTGTGAACTTTTAAGATTTACATTGTTGTACTTCACTCAGTCATGTCCATTGACCACATTACTGAGTCAGGCAGCTCAACCAACAGGCAAAACACAGTCCAGCCAGATCTACTCACTGCTAACAGTAGAGTGTGCTGTTTCTCTATTACGCAGCTCTATCAATGCTGAATAAAAATTAGTAATTCAATGTTTACAATTATATTTTCGCTGGGTCACGAACAATCAATTAATTGGAGTATTCTTGCACTTTTTGTAGGTTTAGGGTTACAACACAACAAACCTTGCTTAGCTAGTAGTTTGACCCATCTGCCTACCCTACTTGTACTCTTAAAATGTACTCGGATGTATAGACACGCAATCAAACAAACAGTGCTTTTTCCAATGAGAATTGTGATGATGATGAAACCCATCTTAACCAGTCTCATAATGTATAAATTTACACAAGCACTTATATCGAGGGATCAACATCGACTGGATCATAAACCGCTGGAAACATTAATGGGAGAGCTTCAAGGCTGATCATGTGGATACATGACTACTGCAATTTATACAAAGGAGTAGACACAGCATAAGCTGCAGCATGTTTCAAAGACGGCTGGATCCAAAAACTGCAGACTGTAGGCACTTCAGTTACTGCTCTGATCATTTCTTTCATTAAGAAGTCAAAAATAATCCTAATAGTCTCCTGCACCGAAAGATGTTTTAGATGTAATTAGGTCACATTATATACTCCTTATTTAACAACGATTTACATGTATATCGTGCCCTTCACGCAGGGTAGGGTCAAGGCACCTCGTGTCACCCTTGTATCGACAGTTATTCATCTTCCCCTTTTCTGGAATATTCTAAATTTTTCCAAGGAAATTTGTTCACTTTAAACCCACAAATTTCACATTGTTATTTTGCAAAAGAAAATCTCAAATAATAAATCTATTTTGAAAAGACTTTGGAAGGGAATGGTTATCGGGCAGGGGAGGGTGGGGGAACTGATTGGGCAGCTTTGCTTCAAGAACCGGTCCAGACACAAGTCAGACTACAAAACTATCAAATTGGCTGAATAATACATTACTTCAAATTTAGGAGGAACTACTTTGCCCTGAGGGTAGTGAGATTATGGAATTCACTGCCTGAAGCAGTGGTTGAATCAGAGTGTAGATGCACTCTGGGATGCTAGATGTTCACTAGAGGGAGAGGGGAATTAGAAGGGTGTGGGAGGGTGTAAGGAATGAATGAATGCTTGTGCATATTATGACAACAACAACAAAAATACATTTATAGAGCACTTTTTACGTCGGGAGGACGTCCCAAAGCACTGAACAGTCAGTCAGGTGTCGGGGCCCATGGGGGAGGGGTGGTGCAGGGGTGAGGCGAGGTAGAGAGGTGGGAGGGCGACCAAAGGCACGATCGAAGAGAAGGGTCTTGAGACCGGTCTTGAAGGAGGCAAGGGAGGAAGCGAGGCGAAGGGACTGAGGGATGGAGTTCCAGAGCGTGGGGGCAGAGAGGCTGAAAGTCTGGCCACCGATGGTAGGGCGGATCGGGGGGAGACATGGAGCAGGCCAGAACCCGCTAAACAGAGGGAGTGGGCAGGTTGGTAGGGAGTCAGCAGGTCAGAGGTAGGAGGGGGCAAGGCCATGGATGACTTTGAAAGTGAGGACGAGGATCTTGAACTCGATCCTCTGGGGGATGGGGAGCCAGTGGAGTCGGGCGAGGGTGGGCGTGATGGGGTCATGGAGCCTGGTGCACGAGAGTACACGAGCTGCAGAGTTTTGGATGATCTGCAGCTTGTGAAGGGAAGAGTTGGGAAGTCCGATGAGGAGGGAATTCCCGTAATCAAGCCTTGATGCGTGGGTAAGGGTTTTGGCAGCCTGAGGGGTGAGGCAGTGGCAGAGTCTGGCAATATTGCGGAGGTGGTCGTAGGCAATGCCGGTCATGGCGTGAATGTGGGGGAGAAAGGACAGTTCAGGGTCAAACAAGACACCCAGGTTCCTGACTGGCTTAGTGAGGTTGAGTGTGCAGCCGTGGAGGCTGATGCTGCCAGTGCCCGAAGTGCGGAGGCGCTGGCGCGAGCCAGGAGGGCCTCAGTCTTCCTGACGTTGAGTTGGAGAAAGTTGGCCCTCGTCCAGGACTTGATGTTGGACAGGCAGTTGGTCAGGACGCCAGTAGTCCTGGAGTTGAGGGTGGAGGCAGAGAGATAGAGTTGGGTGTCATCCACATACATGTGGAAATTTACCCCATGTCTGCGGATAATGTCACCAAAGGGGGAGCATAATAGAGGGTGATAAGTAATGATACGGACTGGTTGAGTTGAGTGGCCTGTTTCCATGTGGACATTCTTTGTTTGTCCAAGTTTCCACCCACAAAATACAGTCAATTCACTTTAAAGTATATTCTGTGAAGCTGTTTGAGACGATTCGAAGATGTGATAAGGTGCTATATCAAATGCAAGGATTATTATTATTATTATTGTGTACTGTTCTTTTCCATTTGCACCAAGTCACATCCTGTAGCTTGGGGTCGAAAATGTTATTTATCCCCCTTTGGAATAATCTTCCACATCTGACCTACCTGATTCCCAGCCGTCATCACATTGCAATGTGCTGTCTTTAGATATGAGCACTTTCACTGTTTCCTTTTTTGAACTTGAAGAAGTGAAAGCTGCAGGTTCTGGGCAGGACGTTTTACTGGAGACCGTGGACAAATTACCAACTCTGGTTTCATGGAGAGAGCCGGCCAGTGAATTAGAGGCAGATTGTTGTGAAAATCCATTGATGGCCTGAAACACAAAATGCACATGAGTAACAAACTAAATCTCCGTCACAGGCAGACATAAGCAGTTTTACCTAGCAAGTAGGAACCTGGTTGCTAGTTGATCGACGGATCGCTTTTCCGGGGGTAATAATTCCTTAACAAACATAATAATAATAATTTGGTCACTTCAATCCACGACTGTTTGTGAGACACCGCTGTGCGCAACTGGCTGATATGTTTCGCCCACAAAATATACAGTCAATTCATTTTACAGTATATTCTCTGAAGCACTTTGAGAAGTCTCGAAGACGTGATAAGCCGCTGTATCAAATGCAAAGATTATTTTTATTTATTATAAGAAAAGTCTAATAAGGATCCTATGCAGTGTCAATGTATCCATAGAATGAAGATATTACAGAGAAATACTAGAATTATTAGTTGGTGACAATGAAGGCATTGCAACTAATAGTAACCTGTCAACAAAGAGGTTTACGATCTACAAGTCTGCTTTGGATTACAGCGATATTGCCAGGCACATCTTCTCAGTTAGTTCAGCTACAGAGAGAAGCTCCCTATTCCCTTTCTTTCTCTCTTGTCTTTTTGCACCACCCCAGATACTTTCAAACAGTACTTGGTAACAAGTTGCTTCACTATTCAGAGATACAACAACAACAACCACCACAAATTCCATTTGTACAGCGCATTTCATGACAGGAGGATGCCCCAAGGTGCTGGGCAGTCAGAGATCCGCACCCAAGCTGGTGGTTGGGATCAGGAGGGGTGGAGGGCAGGGAGAGTAGGGGTAGGAGGGTGACCTAAGGCATGGCTGAAGAAAAGAGTCTTGAGATGAGGGTCTTGAGAGAAGAGGAGGATCTTCAACCACCCTTCTACCTCTCTGCCCTTCCTCAACCCTGCCCCTACCCACATGCTAGGGGCCTGATCCCTTACTGTTCATGGCTTTGGGATGCCCCCCCAACATGAAGGCACTATACAAATGTAATTTTGATGTTGTTGTAGAAGGAGGCAAGAGAGGGGGCGAGGAGGGACTGTGGGATGGAGTTCCAGAGGCTGGGGACAGAGAGGCTGAGGGTACCCAGCGCAGACTCTTACCTGGAGACTCTCAGATGGGAGGCTACCACCACAGCTACCCCCTCCTTGGGGATATATTCGCAACACATTGTTTGGAGTCACATTTAAGTAGTGATTTCGATGTGATGGAGAAAAGACACCAATCTGAACACGAGAACAAGGACACAGGTCAGCACTGCAGAAATGCTAACTTCTTCTCCTTCAGCACAATATTTAGTTTTACATTCACCTCCCCACACAAAAAAAAACACTTCCCAAGCAAGGGGATTCCTCCAGAATCACAATGGTCTCTCTCTCCTCATGCGAAGAGGGAATGTCTCGTATGCCTTCGCTTATATTGACCCAAAGTTCCCCACACACTGCTCTTCAGAGAACTGTGTGCACAGAGCCTTTCAGAGCGACTTGACTATCTTGTACATTCACCTTGCCCGCCTTCAGAGAGAATACAGTAATAGGTGCTGCTGCAGAAAATAAATTGTAGCATTGCTCAATTGTCCTTCTCGGAGTCATTTTCTTTTATAAAAAGGGATGGAAGAGTGCGTAGTTCTGCAGAAAGCTTTAATACTTTGGAAAATTCCAGGTTAAATTTAATACAATTCAGCGCCAATAATTGACTACATAGGGGTTTCTTCAGAGTGTGTGAAGCCCATTGTGCCAAATAAGCCTGCTGGAGATTCATTGTCAACAAATATGTTGATTGACACTAAGGAATTTGTAAAATTACAGGCAGCCTAAAAAAGTCGCTTCCCCCCACTCCGCCCCCATCCTAAAGTAAACTAAGATAATAAGATAGATGATAGAGATAGTTACACAGAGTTCTGACCTGTTTCAGGAGAAGGACAGTTCCAGGCTTTAGCTCATTTGGTTTCTCTATCAGAAGCTGGCGGTGTACAGTTCCCTGCATCTCACCTGCAAAGGCAGAATTGGGTTTGCAATACTAAATTCCTTCAAATAAATAAATAATTTTGGGTACTCAATCTACGACTGATTGCGGGACACTGCTGTGCGCAATTGGCTGCCGCGTTTCGCTCACAAACAATATATAGTCAATTCACTTCACAGTATAAGCACATAAGAACATAAGAATTAGGAGCAGGAGTAGGCCATTCGGCCCTTCGTGCCTGCTCCGCCATTCAATAAGATCATGGCTGATCTTCTCACTTAACTCTGATTACCTGCCCTATCCCCATATCCCCTAATCCCTCTATTTTTCAAGAATCTATCAGTCTCAGCTTTGAAAATGTTCTGTATATTCTGTGAAGCGCTTTGATTTGTGTAGAGGACTTGATAAGGCGCTATAACAAATGCAAGGATTATTATTATTTATTATCACAATGACACGAGCTACTACAACTTGAGAAGACATTTGTCATGTTGCCGGATGTAAAATGCATTATCATCATACTAATACTAATAATCCTTGCATTTCATATAGCGCCTTATCATGTCTTCTAGACGTCTGAAAGCTCTTCACAGAATATACTGGAAAGTGAATTGACTATATTTTGTGGGCAAAACGCAGTAGCCAATTGCGCACAGCAGTGTCCCACAAACAGTCGTTGATTGAAGTGACCAATTCATCATTTTTTTGGAAGGAATTATTACCCCCGGAAAAATGATCCGCCAATCAACTAACACCTGGGTTCCTACTTACTGCTAGGTAAACAGAGGCATGTGGAGTAAGGAAACTTGCCCAGCATTTCACCCTGCCCGGGAATCGAACCCGGGTCCTCTCACTTGCGAAGCGAGTGCTGTAACCACTGAGCTACGCCTTCACTGAAATGATCTGAGCAGAGATCAGCACTCTTCCCTGTATCGCTGCCATTAAGCAATGATCAAATGCTTACAAAGTTCAGAACTTTGAATGCAAGTTTTGAAATGTGGCTTGCTTTTCCTGAAGCAAATGCAGCCACAAGTCATCTGAGGATTAAACAAGTTTTAGCTAGCTGCAGACTGCCACAATTTTTTTTTGCCGCTTTTCCTTTGAATCTCAAAACAAGAAAGAACTTTGCTGTTCATAATCATGTTGAGCACATTTCCTTCTCATGATGGAAAAAACATCATATTGAAAAGTTTTTTTCCTTGAGGCTTAAAAAACAAGCAGCTTCTCTGCCACACCTCTTAAACAGTTATCTGCTTGTTTGCATTGGATTAGCTGATCTCAGTAGGAGCTGCACAAATTGCTACAAGCAACCCCGGGCAGAGGGAGGAGGGGAAAAAAAAATAGGGCTTTTTCTTTTTGATCATTATTCAGAGGTTGTTGTGCTTATGAGAACGGGATAATCAAATAATAATCCTTGCATTTGATATAGCGCCTTACCACATCTTCGAAACGTCTCACAGGGCTTCACAGCATATACTGTGAAGTGAATTGACTGTATATTTTTGTGGGCGAAACGCAGCAGCTGATTGCGCACAGCAGTGTCCCACAAACAGTCGTGGATTGAAGTGACAGGTTTGTTTTTAGATTTTTTTTGATCAGGCTCGACTGACACTGCACACTCACAACTTACCCACTCTTGCTGTCTTAAGATCACACATTTAGCCTTGGGTAATGGTTAATTACTTGGGTAAGCTACTTGTGCAACATATCCCCAAGAGTCAGTGTATTCCGAAAAAAACATTGGGGAAAAAAAAGGAATTACAGGAATTCAGAGTATTGAGCCTGGAATACTTCACACGACAACTGACCTCAACTTGCGGTATTGGCAAACCATTCCTATTTAATTAGTAGAGGCCAGTAAGAGAATAACGTACATTTCACCCACAAAAATATACAGTCAATTCACTTTACAGTATATTCTGTGAAACGCTTTGAGATGTCTCAAAAACGTGATAAGGCTATATCAAATGCAAGGGTTATTACTATTGTTATTACATGTCATGGAAAAATGAGTCCGTGGAAAAGGAGCAGAGAGGCATGTGTATAACACAGATTTACCCTTAAATGCACATTTTAGGCTGCTTAGTTAGTTTGAACAAGGAACAATATGCTTCATTGCAACAGACACTCTAAAGGGCAGTATAATCATTGGAAACTAGATCAAGTAATTTGAAGTCAAGGTTGGCATTGTGCATCATCACATCACTGCATTTTATATTGTTTTTTATGGACTATAATAATAATAATCCTTGCATTTGATATAGCGCTTTTCACGTCGGGAGGACGTCCCAAAGCGCTTCACCGAACACACTGTAAAGTGAATTGACTGTATATTTGTGGGCGAACGCGGCAGCCAATTGCGCACAGCAATGTCCCACAAACAGTCGTAGATTGAAAATGACCAATTTATTATTGTTTTTGGTTTTTGGAGGGATTATTATTAGGCTCTGTGACTAGTTGATACATTGATTTTTATTGATACATTGAAGAGGCGATGAATCCTAATTGGTGGAAACTCTACCTGATGGATCCTTGAAAACTGCACTGCCATCCGTATTTGTGCGAGTCAATGATTTCACAAGAACAGCCATGTAGGGAACCTTGCCTTTCGGAAGCTGCTTTAACGCTGCCTTTAAGAACGCATAACAGAGAAAGGGATTAAAATACATCGCAATCTTCAGCCACCGTTTCAACATCACTTATTCGAGAGAGAAAAAAAATACAAATGATCTCAGTAAAACTTTGCATCGACCAAAAGAACCTCAAATGAGTGCTCAACATCAGTTTAAACCAAGGGTGATTCTCGACATACATTACCAGCTGTATGAATTTTGTTTCTCATTAGTTTTTTCCCCCCCAATATTAGAATAATAATAATAATTTGTTATAGCGCCTTATCACGTCTTCGAGACACCACAAAGCACTTCACAGAAGATGGCATTTCAATTTTTTTATATTAATAGTAAGAATAAATCGTGAAACAAAAAAAACATACAATTTAACAGTAAACCTCACTAAGTCGTATCAGCTGGGACTCTACAACAACAACAAAATTACATTTGTATATTTAATATATTTAATACAACTTATGCAAAGTATGAGTTATGTCAAACTTTCACAGAATATAAACTCTTGAACGGGACTTGGGTAGATGTACAACTTAGGCGATTGTACGATTTATACCGATGCAGACTTATGCGACTTTCACTGTAATGATTTCAAGACTCACGGTTACTATGAAGCTCAATTTTACCTTTCGTAGCACCATGATTATGCTATAACTTCGAAGGAAGCAGTCAGGATCTTGCTCGTCCAACATCAGCTCAGCTTTCATTGTAGCCCAGGGACCTCTCCCAAAGTCATCTTCAAGAAATTGCTGAGAACTTGGAATCTCCTTAGTAGGAAATTAAACATCATCACCAACTATTCAACCACAGCAAATTTACACTTATAAAGCATTTCCCATAGGGAAAAAGGCCTCAAACTGTTTTGCAAAGACGGAGTGGAAGTCCAGGTTAGGAGGGAAATAAATAATAATTTTAATAATAACAGTCAATAAATGACTGTTATGGGACACTGTTGTGCGCAATTGGCTGCTGAGTTTCACTCGCAAAATATACAGTCAATTCACTTTACAGTATATTCTGTGAAGCACTTTGAGACATCTAGAAGACGTGACAAGGTGCTATATCAAATGCAAGGATTATTATTTATTTCTTATAAGAGCCGTGAATGGTAACTGGCTGAAGGCACAGTTTAAGAGATGGGTCTTTAGACTGGATTTGAAAGCAGAGAGGCAGGAGAAAACACGCTGGGGCAAATTGTCTGAAAGCTCGCCCACCAATGGTGGGAATAAAAGGCATGAAGGAGGCCAGAGTCGGTGGAGCAGAGAGCGAGGCTAGAGAAGTAGAGCTACAGAAAACAGGGTGGTCGTAGAGGTATTTGAAGGTGAGGACCAGGATCTGTTGGGGGAAAGCCAGTGGAGTTAAGCAAAGATGGGGTGATGGGCTTGCAAAGCCCAGTGTAGGAGAGAATGAAAGCTGCGGAGTTCGGAATGATCTGTAGCTTGTGGTACTGGCCATTGGATGAGGGTTTGGGCTGTGCTGGAAGTGAAGTAATGGCAGAGACAGACGGTGTTCCAGAGATAAGAGGAAAAGGGACTTGGTTCGAACCCAGATTAAAAAGCGTAGAGGGTCAAGCAAAACACAGAGGTTCATCATATCGAAGTGAGCAATCAGGAAGTTGACAGTCAGTGCCTGACCTGGTAGAAGCTGAACAAAATAGTTTTGACAACAATTTGTCAATTAAAGCTAATGATAAAACATTTTGTATTTTGGAAAATTATCAATTAAGAGCACGTCGAGGGGATAAAACGTATATTTTGCCCTGGAAGCAGCGGTTTAGTTTGTGCTTTTGCCATCTGCCTAACCCAGTATTTTGTACTCTCTGGTACATCAATCATCTTAAGTCCAAGATGATTGATTTCTGCACGTCCCAGATACCCGGCTGACCAAAAAAAACCAAAAGATATCAAGGCCAATTGTAGCGGTCCAGATGTTGTCTTGGCTGAGATCAGCAAAGTCAATAAATGTGAGATTCAAACATGCAACCTTCTGTATGAATTACTATTATATCACATAGGCAGCTTGAGCCACTGCAATATTGCATTGTAAAAAAAAGTATAAAATACAAAGATATTGTTCAAATACATTCTTTAAAATAAGACATTGCCAACTATGAAAATAGCATTATAAGACATTTGTTTAAATGAAGCCACAGAATGATTACCTGAGGCTGTAGTTTGGCCACTGCACCATGAGCTGGCATATGTGATGCTGAGATCAAGATTTCCTCCAGGTTTTTCCCAATGTGCTGGAAGATAAGCCCGAACAGCAAATGAGCAAACCCGGCATCTCAGATTAGGAAAAGCTTCACAAGGTAAAGAGCAATAATCTGCCACTAAGGTCATCGCGTTACAACGTGCAATGGAAAATTCCGTGCAAACAAACAAACAAGAGCAACAACAAATGACACTCGTACAGCGCCTTTCACGTCGCAAAGATGTCCTAGGGTGCTCGACAGTCAGGGTTTTTTCGACCCGAGCTGGTAGTTGGGGTCAGGAGGGTGGGGGCTGTGGCCGAAGGCACGGTCAAAAAGGAAGGTCTTTAGACAGGACTTGAAGGAGGCGAGAGAGGGGGTGAGGCGGAGGGATTGCGGGATAAAGTTCCAGAGTGTGGGGGCAGAGATGCAAACTAACCCCTGAATTTGTTTCTGCATTTTAAGTTTAAAATTCAATATTGTGTGCTTCCTGACCCCCACACAGTATTGAATGTCCCTCTGTTGTTGCTCTAGTGCATAGTGCACACTAGGGCTTTAAATGACCCCTTAAATATATACAGTTGGTTAAACATTTAGACAAGCCTAACTCCACAAATGTTGAAAGAAAACCATTAAAATCAAGTCAAACACTTTAGGACATATTGCAAAAAAAATCAATTAAGAGCAGAGCGAGGCTAAAATGTAAATTTTGCTCTTTAAAACAGTGGTTTAGTTTGTGCTTTTGTTGTCTCATCATATCATGATATTATTAGACGGTTGCTGAGCAGCAGACATATAGGCTGGAAGTCAGACATCTAGTTGAATGCTTTCATTTGTTTCTTTAATGGTTTTGCGTTGCTCTTTTATGAGCACAGTGCAAAGAAACCGTCCTTCCTCCTTTTTGTTTATTACTTTTATTAGGTATTTAGAAGGATGATCGCACTGGAAGGCAAATTAGGTTACAAGTAATTAGACATAGCTCGGCAATAGTTTATTTCAAGGTGAAGGTGAAAAACAGACACCGCAGATTAATGACACTGTCTATTTCATTAAAAAGGTTAGACATACAGGACACTCGATTTGTTCTTTGAACCCTGGGAGACAATCTTTTACGTGGATAGTCATGGAAGGATCAAATGAAGGCTATACGCCTACGAGATATAGGGAAAAATATGAACTGAAGAAAATTCACCAAATGAAGTTGGTTACATTTTGCACACATGGTACAAATGGTTAAGTGGATGTATATATATTATAGAGAGAGAGAGAAAGACAAATGTAAAACTGCTTTGACTGATCAGTATTTAAATTCATTTGTTGTAGCACAAAAGGGAATGGGTGCTACAACTGGCTTCTCATGTCTCTGAGCTCGAGTTGGCAAAAAAAATAATGTTAACTACTAATTCCGTCCTGAATGAGAAGTTTTCTACAGGAAATGATCCATGAAAGACAACAATTGAATTCCAATGAACTGCATGGCTCACAATATCAGTACTGAAATGCCCTGCACTAACTCACAGACACAGATTCCCGTAGTATAAATTGGAATTGATTTTTCTTTGAAATGCAACAAAGATAAAAAGATAAGTAATGTGGATCTATTGATATTAAAGGGCCTGGTGTAATTATCATCGCAATTAACTTTGACAGCTATTGAATGGAATTCCTCAAAATGGTTAGCTCTATGACATATAATCAGGCTGCTTTTTGACCAATATGCACCAATATAACCGCTGGTAGGATTTCTTTATTTAAAAAAAGATGGAATCTGATTTATTTCACCTTTCAATTACAGTAAAAATATTTACTGACGTTCAAATGGTGTTCTAGACTAATTACCTGCAGGTTTAAAATATTCAATCACACAGAGTAAAAACCACAGGGAAATATGAAGGAAACATATTATTCTACTGCTGAGAACAGAAGCAATACTCTGGAGTGTCACTGTGTGAAACCTGCAAATCCTGTCACTTCACCTGATAGTAATTACCCATGAAGCACTTTGAGATACTTCAATGTTTCGCCCGCAAAATATACAATCAATTCACTTGATAGTATATTCTGGGAAGCGCTTTGAGACGTCTCGAAGACGTGCTAGGGCGCTATATCAAATGCAAGGATTATTATTATTCGTCACCATTTAAATGTAAGCATTATCTGCTTACTCTTAGCCTTTAAAGGTTAAACTCTTCAAATGATAATAATTTAGTTACTTAATGTCCAAATCTTGTCCATAATTCAAAAAATATTGTAATTTAGGGATTGGGCCAAAGGTGGCAACAGAATGCCTTTGAATGTTTTTAAAATCTGTGAATTTCTATTGCTTCAAAGTAAACAAACTGGGCTTGGAGGCAGCTGGCTGCCAAAATACATTTCAAGAACGCCCGAACAGATTTCACAAACTGACAAGAGAGGTATGGATGAAGAGGTCGTTTGGCCCAGTTGATCTCATTCTTCTCAATGCATTTATAAAGTTGATGGTGGAAAAACCTTAGGCACTGATGTAAAAAGGTGGGTGAACTAGCAACAAAAAACAAACCATGCTGCACGGCCCAATAATGATAACTCAATAACTAATACATGATCATAAAATACAAAGCCATTATCTAACTGCTCCTTTGGCTGAAAGACTTGATCTAGTACAGTGGAATATATTAAAACAATTTTCTACTGCAGCAAGTAACTGCAAGCAGACATCCATCTTTGAAAGAAAAAGCAAGCTTGTATTTTAGCGGGTTCAGAGACCCAAACCATATTGCTACAAGTTGTACTGAGACCAGAGATAATTCAACCAAAGAGAATAAGAATTGAACCTCAATTTAACCGAATGTGACACTGTATGTTAAATTTTTATGGCTACACATCAAAAAACAATATTAACTGAATGGTTCACTCATTTACGTAACACTTTTTTCTATCACCTAAAAGCCTGGCTCAGTTGGTAACTCTCTCGTTTCTGGGTCAGAAAGTTGTGTGTTCAAGCCCCACATCATGACTTTTAAGATCACAGTGTAGGCTGATATTCCAATGCAGTATTGTAATCAGTTTTGGTGAAGGTGTTAAACCTTTGGATGAGGCATTAAACCTGCCTGTTCCGCTGGATGGTAAAGATTCTGTAACAGTATTCAAAAAGAGAAGGGAGAATATCTCAGTGTCCTGACCAACAACCCTCCAGATAAATAATGGCAAGTTACATTAATACGTGCCAGACATTTTAAGGTTAGCTCAGTTTTATCTCATTGGGAGTTTGCCTTCATTCGCATATGAACTACTTTTCCAGCACACCTATTTGAAGTTCAATCATTGAGAAGCGTCCTTGGACACTGCAAATGAGTATTTATTTCTTTATGGCCTTTATTTAAGGCACTATATCAAATGCAAGGATTATTAGTATTATTATATTATTTATAGCAAACAATTTTAAGTACGATTCTAAGGGAAAGCATTTAGCTGACTTTCACACAAGATGAATCAAGTGCATATTTTCAATCGAAGGTCAAAAGACTGCTGTAATCTGCAAAGCAGGGTTATAAATTAAGTATGTATCTGAGCAGAGAGGTTGGAGTGCATTAATGCACATGGCATCAAATCACATGCACCTTTGCTTCCAGCTTGGTTTGGGACTAATGCTAATGTATACGGGTCAAATGACAGCATGTAAACTGATAGTACACCATTTATACTGCTGCTTATTGTGCGATATTGTCAGTGTAAACGTACACAATATAAAATCAAAGAATATAACAACTTGAATAGCACCCTCCGCATAGGATAATATCTCTGGTCTTTACATAGATGTTAATAATATAATCCTTAGATTTGATATAGCGCCTTATGAAGTCTTCGAGATGTCTCAAAGCACTTGACAGAATATACCTCAATGTGAATTTATTGTATATTTTGTGGGCGAAACGCAGCAGCCAATTGTGCACAGACAGTGTCCCATAAACAGTCTGTTCCCTCTTTTTAAAAAAACTTAAAAGATTATGTTTCAGGAATGTTTTACAGATTCCAGACATCCTGTGCAAATCATTTAACTTCCTCTTAGATTCCTTCGTTGTAATACTGCACTTATTTTTAATATAAAAATAAAAGCGTAAGATAAGAAAAATAAGCGTAGAAGTCCATTTTATCCACAAAAAAANTGGGAATTTTTCCTTTTCTTGATAGTTCTTATATACGAACTACTGTCTGCTACTGGAATCCAATAGAAATTCAAGGGAAATCCTTCATTATTGGGAAGGACAAGTTTGCAGGGCTATGGGGAGAGCGCGGGGGAGTGGTACTAATTTCGACAGCACCTTCCAAGAGCCGCACAGGCACGATGAGCCGAATAGCCTCCTTCTACGATTAATAATAATTCTACGATTAATAATAATTATAATCCTTGCATTTGTTACAGCTCTTTTCACGACTTCTAGACGTCTCAAAGCGCTTCACAGGATATGCTCTAAAGTGAATTGACCGTATATTTGTGGGCGAAAAGCGGCAGACAATTGCGCACAGCAGTGTCCCAAAAACAGTCATGGATTGAAAATGATCAATTTATTATTGTTTGGTTTTGGAGGGATTATTATTAGGCGTATGGAGTAAGAAAACTTGCCCAAGTTTTTGCCCTGCCTGGAAGTGAACCCAGGTGTCTCGCTTGCATGGCAAGTGCTCTAACCACTGAGTTACAGGACTCCATTTTACTAATTAACTAATGTTCTGAGGCCCTGCATCATTGCAGCCCACAACTAACTATTCTGGGTGGGTGGGGGGGGAATGAATAAGGTGTCATAAAGATACGGCAATTCAAATAGTTTGTTATATATTAGTTGCCACATTTCGCCCACGAATACAGTTAATTCACTTTACAATATATTCTGTGAAGCGTTTTGAGACATCTTGATGAAGTGATAAGGCGCTATATCAATTGCAAGCAGTATTATTATTATTGTATTAAAACTGTCTGTTGTCATACCTGTTGTGGGAGAATCCCAGCAGGTCCAGGAAATCGCCTGCTTTTTGACTGGGGTCTGTTCAAATTCACAACTTGTGGTGTCCGATTAGCAGCTGATACCAACTGAATCAAGTGATTGGTAACAACAGGAGTTCCCAGAGATGTTGAAGGGCAAGCTGGTAAATACGGAGTTCCCACTGTAACCGAAGGGATTTCTACGGAGCACCTCAACGATCCAGTGGACATGGCAGGTTTTCTAAGACCTCCATTTAAGACTTTTGGGCTAAAGGAGTTCTGAAGAGGTGTCTGTAGCTTTGATGTTGCATTTGGACAGCTTCCCGGACTAATAGAACTTAGTTTCTGGGGTTGTCCAGGCTGAAAGCTCGGACTTGAAATCGCAAGTCTGCATGGAATATTTGAGCTACTTTGCACGTTTTTTCCAAAAGGCATTTGAATTAACGGTACTGATAATTGTTTTAGTGTTTGGGATCGAATGGCAGAAAATGGAACCGAATTGGATTCTTCAGTCCTGTACCAAGTATTGGCAAGTGAGACAGAAGAGCTATTCTGCCCATAGGAATTCTCAGTATTACCTATTCTCACGGCGCTGAATTTGACATTGTGCAAATTAGCTGGACTTTGATTGAACGTAGTTAATGGATGCATGAAAGCCTTGGACCTACTCTCAGAATTAGCCCCTGTAGCCCTCCATTGAAATTTAGAATTTACAATTTCATTACAATTTGGCTCCTCATATCGCTCCGATAATCGAGGCACTTTTCCTGCCAGCTTCACATTGCCGTCCTTCGGAAAGATTTCAGAAGCGTATCTAAGTTTTGAAGAAGTCTTCTCACTGATAGGTGGATTCCATTCTGGATTCCGTTCAATCCCAGACTCATTCAAGCCTTCCCATCCTGACCAAAATAAATCGGCGTCAATTTCCTTGTTTGAGGCAACGCAAACATCGTTCTTAATAGGGTTCTGTTCCTGAGCTTTATCATTGTATTCAGCCCTAGGGATAGAGTCTTTCATCTGCTTGTTGTTCAGGTAGCATAAAGGAGTTTGTGATTTCAAAGTGACATCTGCTGATGGAACTAGTGGAGTTTTGGGAATTTCCTGGCTGCCAGCACTCGCCTTTGAGGTACCCTCATATTCTGGTCGACAATCTCTCTGGTTGGCAGTGCTGTGTGAACGAGCAGGTGTCCTCAGCAATAAAGTGACCGGCCTTAATCCAACACACGGGTTTATTGCAGATGAGCCAGTCATTGCATCTTCAACATCCAATGGGACTGATAGGAAATCCTATCCAAAAGAGAAAAAAAACAGAACGCAGATGCTTTATACAACATCAAAAAGGCAGTTAATACAAGCTACCCTTTTTTTTACAAATTGCTCACATTGCTCTCAAACTACCAGAGGTCCGATCTTAACCTGAAGCCAGTTTTCTATAGTTCTTAGAAAGCATTTTCCAACATTCTGAATAACCTCATTACATTTTAAGACAACAGTCTCCACTCTAAGACTACAAGAATTATTGATGTCAGTTTTGCAACAGCTCATTATATCGACTGTAAATAGTTGCAGCTCACCATCATTAGGACTTACTCTGGAAAGAGGGTCTGATTTGTCCATTCTCCCCCCCAACCAAAAATCAATGAAGATATAAAAACAATGAAACAGATTTTATTTAAAAAGAGGATCAATCCTGTATGTAACTGACCACACAGAAAAGAACCCCCAAATTTCCATCACACACATCAATAAAAACTAAAATGAATGCAGCCCAAGCCAGAACGCAATCTTTGATACATACAAACTGTCCCCTTAATTATATCTCTCGACCACTGAAACGAAACTCTCTTGTATGTAGCCAGAACAGACACAGTCGATTCGTTAACAAGCATACTGAAGGAAGGATTGGGATTCAACAATTGTTCTACTATTTTAAAACCACAAGAAAGGTTTTTCCTTCTATAATGGGATCAATGTCCCACACCTGTGTATCAGCAGCTTGGCTTCTTCTCAGTCTGTACAGCCGTGAGCAGGAAATCACTTCAGATAGTATCAGGTGAGACACTGATGCAGAATGCTTCGAGACAGAGGATATTGTTTTCTACCATATCGACCAGAATCTCCAAATATGTTAAAGGAAATGCTAGGCCCAGGAACAATTCGACCCAAATACAATAAAAACTCTAGTCTTCATACAGTTCGTTGTTGCACCGAGCTTCACAGAGCGATACACTATTAATACAAATTCACATTGGGAGGATGTCCCAAAGCACTTAGCAGTACCATCAGGGCCGAGCTAGGAGTGAGAGCCAAAGGGATGGAGAGGGAAAAGATGACCGAAAGCATAGTCAAATAGTCTATGTCCGATAGCATGGAAACAAGCCATTTGACCAAAGTGGTTAGGATACCTGTTTATGTCAGTGAGGCTTTTTGCCTCTACATTCCTAGAGTTCAGGAACATATGTTAGCAGGCAATCAGTGCTAAAAGCACATCGCGCTTCTAGTATAGCAAGGGTCCACAGTACATCCAGTTGACCCAAACCAATATTGTGTTATAATAAGGTTATCCTGCATTAGCCATTTAAAGTGACAATCAAACCATAGTTGAGAGATTATAATTTGGTAGAAAGACTTGATAAAGTGGTGTTGTGTTTTGCCTGACTGGAGAAGATCAAAGGGATATAATGGCGATTTTAAAAATTATGAGATGTCTTGATAAAGAGAGGGATTCCTTTCCTCCTAAAAATAGAGCACAATCTGTGGCGCATCACCAGATGAAAAAACAACTAATTGGAGAAATAATATTGGGAAGACAGAATTTTTTTAAAAATGCAATAAAAATCTAAATTAATGCTCAAAGAGATTAACCAAAAGATGAAGAGGATATTTTCACAATCCAACATATTGAACAAACCTTAAAATGGTAATTGAAAAGGAAATGGCGTGGCTTAAAAGCTTTGGGCAAAAGAAAATATCCCTTACCTCATCATCAAACTCTTCTCCCACAGAAAACAGCTTCTGGAAACTGCAAGCCTGGGTAAGGAAAAGAACAAACATTTTAAATAAACTGATAAATACAATACATTACAGGCAAAATATTGAGTAGTAATGTCTCCACTCTTCTGTATATAGTGCACATCTCCAGGTAATTTTCATAAAATTGCCTTGGGAAGTAAACATTTCAAACTAATTTGTTCAGAAAAGATTTAATGTGGGGTTTTCATTTTATTTACAAGTCTAATGATTGTGTAAAAACACCCACAGGTTGTCAGGACAAATACTTTCAAATGAGCTCATTAATTAATTACCCAATTACTTCTGAATTTACAGTGGAGAGGGCATTGAACTGTAAGAGCAAGGAGGCAATGCAAATTTGAACAAGACAATAGTTAGACGATAGATGGAAGATTGTGTCCAATTCTGGTGATCCATTATTGAAAAGATATCACAGAGAAGATATCGTTATCAGAGAATACAGAGGATATCCATGAGGATCAAACTAGGAACTAGGGTTGGGAGATTCCAGTGAGGGGAAAAGATATTAAAAAATTGGAACTTTTTTTGCTGTAGCAGAGGTCAAAGGTTTTTAAAGATTCTGAATTGTTTGGATAGGCAAATAGAGCTGTTCCTAATAATAAGGTGTAAATTCTTCATTACCAGAAGAAAAAGGGCAGTTTTTAGAAAATAGATGATTGCTGGAGTATCATTACCATAAATTAATCCTAAAATTAATTGTTACGATAATTTACAAACATGATCCAGCCTATAAATCATAAAATCCAAATACTGTAGTTTAGAACATGTTCTTTTTCAGCTGTGAAAAAATAAATTGAGGCCTGATTTATATGAGCATTGTTTTGTGCAAGAAGGAAACTAGATCTGGGCTGGCACTCAATTCTTTATTCAATATAATAATTTATACATTTTATAAGTGATGATCGCCACATTTCATGTAGTGATTCTATGTAACCAAAATATCATGTAATATTTAGTAGAAATCCCAGGTGGAATCATTCTGTTTTGATGTTGATAAGTGAATAAAACAAATCCACCTTCAAATAATTTACTATCATTCATTAACCATGTTCGCATTAAAAATACATTTACAACCTCTAAGCAGGCCATTAATGCCTGGTTTAATTATTACACTGATGATAAAGTTAATTAAGCATAAAATTTTATTTTCTCCCATTTTTCAATGTACCTTTTGTTCCTATAATGGATTTTAATATAGAAACTCATTTTAAATAACTGTAGGGCATAGGACTGAAAGACATTGCATAACAGAGAATTTCCAAAAAGGGTTTTTTTCCCCACTGAAAGGCATGTACAGAACAGATGAAAACAGAGTCTGTCTAGTTATTGTGATAGTGATTCCCTGACTGAAGTGTTCCCTACAGTTTTGTCTGCCATGCAACCAGCATTACAGCACTGTGCCAGAAAACAATTGCAAATAATGCACCTTATCATACCGTACCATTTTGTTGTGCAATTAGCACAGTGAATGAAATGCAGAGGAAGCTTGTAATATAGCACTGCCTCACTTAAAGGTCTCCTATGGATCGGCAGTATTTGGAAGCATGGTTAGGTATACACAAGTTAGTTTCCTGTGCTAAAAAATATCTAACTCCAGGATGATCAGGTTGATATCACTTTCTGCGTACTGCACATTATACACTAGGTGTAGGAAGTGGCACCAGTATTATTTTGTGAAGGAATCATTGTCCTCCAATATAATGTTCTGAAAATAAGTTGGATCCTTCCACATGAGTGATAGCTTCAGAGGAAGGGGCTCATTTACACAGTCACTACACTTCACAGTAGAATAGAGTGAAATGCCTTGAGATGTCTTGGTGGTGTATTAAGGCGTCACATCAAATGCAAGGATTTATTATTGTTATTTAAATGTAAACACTTTTTACATAAACTAATGGGAATTTAGGTTTAACAGGGATGTGGAATATGAAAGCAAAGAGGTATTGCTAACCCGTATGAATAAATCATCGGTTAGGTTACAGATGAGTGATTCTGTTCCATTCTGGGTGCAAAACCTTAGGAAGGATGAGGCCAAGGCCACAGAGAAATTCACTAAGATCCTACCTAAGATGTTTCCTTGCGAGGGACTAGAGAAGGGTCAAATGAACTCGAAGGAAGTGTTCAAAATTATGTAGGGTTTTGACAAAGCACAGTACAAATTTACAGATGTCTCAAGGAGCTTGACGGTCTAAGGTTTGCAATTGAGTTGAGGATGAGTGGTGGTGGGGGGGTGGGGCTTGGAAGAGAAGGTGGCCAAAAGCACAGTCAAAGAGGAAGGTCTTGAAGGTGGACTTTAAAGGCGCTGAGTTAAGGGGTGAGCTGAAGAGATTGCGGGACAGAATTCCGGTGGTGTGTGTATGTGTGTGGTTGTAGGGGCAGATATGCTGAGTACCCGACCATTGATGATACCTGTAATAGATAAACAGGGAAGAACTAGGTTCACTTAAAAGTTTGGACGGTCAAGTTAGGAGAGCGAGGGAGCAAATATTTACGCTCAATATGTTGGGGAATACACTGTGCTATCATTATCGCAATTGGCTGCCTGCTGCATTTGACCCACAAAATGTACAGTCGATTCACTTTACAGTGCATTCTCTGAAGCGGTTTGAGACGTCTCAAAGACGTGATAAGGCGCAATATCAAATCTGAGGATGATTATTATTAATGGGATTAGACTAGGTGGTTCAGATGAAGAAAAACTATTATTATTAATAAGAAGGTCACAGGGGAGATAGAAAAGATAACATCTTAATAATCACAATAATATTCTAATCTTTCTTGCCTTATTATGATAACTAATAATATTTTGAACTGTCTTATTATGATAAATAAATATGAATAATAATATTTTGATCTGTCTTATTATGATAAATAAATATGAATAATAATATTTGATCTGTCTTATTATAATAAATTAAATATGAATAATAATATTTTGATCTGTCTTATTATGATAAATATGAATAATAATAATATTTTGATCTCTCTGTCTTATTATGATCTCACGCCGCAGGCCCACTGCCCCACCGAGACCCTCACACACGCATTCACAACATCGAGACCCGACTATGCAAACTCCCGGCTGGTCGGCCTTCCCAACTCCTCCCTCCACAGGCTGCAGATCATCCTGAACTCTGCCGCCCGCGTCCTCTCCCGCACCGGGCTCCGCGACCCCCATCACCTCCATCCTCGCCCGACTCCAACCGGCTTCCCATCACACAGAGGCTACAGTTCAAGATCCTGGTCCTCAAAGCCCTCCGTGGTCTTGCTCCACCACACCCCGCCCCTCCACTTTACCTCTGCGACCTCCTAACCCCCGACCATCCCGCCCGCCCGCCCCCTCCCTCCCTCCCTCCCTCCGCTCGGCGGCCTCCGGCCTGCCTCACGTCCCTCGCCTCACCTCACCTGCCCCACCATTGGCAGGTGGGCGGACCTTTCTGCCCTCCGCCCCCCAAACTCTGCCCCGCAGCCCCTCCGCCTACTTCAAGACCTCTCTCAAGATCCTCCTCGGCTGCTGTCGTTGTTGTTGTTGGACGACGATGAATACTTACGAATAAATCGTAATATTTCTTTCTTCCTCCTATGATCTTCTCTACACGTCATTACCGCATATTTTATCCACATTTAAATTGTCCAGAGTATGTTATTGTAAACATTCATCTTTCATTCACACAAAATAATAAAATGTATCATCATTTTATTAAAAGTTTATCTCTTTTTAATATTTTATCAAAAAAAACCAAAACAAAGAGAAATACATAAACAACACAAAACAAAAAGATAAACATAGAAAGAAAGAAAGAAAGAAAGATAATAGTCTCCACTTACCATCTCCGACGCTCCTCCACCTTCTCTCTCCCCCCACCCGCGGCCTACACACTGCAGAGCCCGAGCGAGGCCCTGCCGAGCCCCGGACTAGAGTAAGCGTCGCGGACCCGCGGGGAGGAGCCGCCTTCGCTCCCTGAGCAACAGGGCCACACCCTCCCCCCATAGCAACCGCCCACTGCCCGCCCTTAGCAACAGCCCCGCCCCTTAGCAACTGCCCCGCCCCTTAGCAACTGCCCCACCCCCTTAGCAACTGCCCCACCCCTTAGCAACTGCTCCACCCCCTTAGCAACTGCCCCACCCCTTAGCAACTGCCCCACCCCTTAGCAACTGCTCCACCCCCTTAGCAACTGCCCCACCCCTTAGCAACTGCTCCACCCCCTTAGCAACTGCCCCACCCCTTAGCAACTGCCCCACCCCTTAGCAACTGCTCCACCCCTTAGCAACTGCCCCACCCCTTAGCAACTGCTCCACCCCCTTAGCAACTGCTCCACCCCCTTAGCAACTGCTCCACCCCCTTAGCAACTGCCCCACCCCTTAGCAAATGTCACGTCCCCCCCAGCAATAGCCCACCCCCTCCAGCAACAGCCCATTGCCCCACAGCTAAAGTCCATCACCTCCAACAACAGCCGGTCAGCAACAGCCAGTTTTCCTGGTGCCCTGACCACAACCCCAAAGTAGGATTGCTTGTTCACTTGATGGCTGTTTGTGGGATGTCACTTTGTTTAACGAGGCGGACGGGTTTTGCCGGCAACATACAAAGACACTGCACTTGATAGTAAATCCTGTGAAGTGTTTTGAGACGTCCTCCCAATGTGAAAGTGGCTTTGTCATAGAAACCGGAGTAGGCCATTCAGCCTCTTGAGCCTGTACCACCATTCTATAAGATCCGTGTTTCCGGGGTAAATAATACTTCAAAAAAACAATAATAATTTGGCCACTCAATCCACGACTGTTTGCAGGACACTGCTGTGCGTAATTGGCTGCCGCGTTTCGCCCACAAATGCACAGTCAATTCACTTTACTCTCTTTACTCACTTTATTCTGTGAAGCGCTTTGAGACGTCCAGGAGACATGAAAAGCACTATATCAAATGCAAGGATTATTATTATTATAAGATCATGACTGATCTATACCTCAAGTCCAATTACCCGCCCTTGCCCCGCATCCCTTGATACCCTGACCTAACAAATATCCAACCACCTCAGTCTGGAAGATGTGAATGGATCCAGCATCCACGCCTTTTGGGAGAGAGTTCCACCTGACTTGCATTAATACTTGTCAAAGCAAGTTTTATAGTTAACAAATTTAGGATCAGTGTATCACAAGGGTGACTGTGGTGTTTTTCTACCAAATACTGTATGCGGAATCTTTAACATATGGGGGTCTTGTTGCCTTTATCAAGATAAGTTACTTTGTGTCAGCGAATTCATCAAAAATATTTGTTAATATTTTATGGACAGCTGTACCCTTCTTTAACCTTGTCTTACCAAATTGTAAAAATCATGCATTGCTTACAGATCCACTCTTATCTATACAGGACATAAAAGAGAATCCCTTCTTTTATTACATGACATCTGATGGTCTATAATTCTGTATAATTCATAGCAAGTTGATATGGAACAAAATATATCGGGCCGATCAGTGATTAAATCAAATTTGTGATTCTTGCTGATATATTTAACATCATACAACCAATATGAGGCAGATATTTAGTGTTCCAAAAAGTGATGCAAAATCATTGCTGGGTTTAATTTACTATTACGTCCCTTAATTATCGATTTAATTGTTGATTTACTACCGAGGCAGTTAAAGGCTTTAATTTGTGCTGTATTGGATTTTGCTGTAATAACGTCAGGAGAGCATCGAAGAGCCAAAAATCAATTGTTAGCTCATCATTAACAATAGCACGGAGGAGAATGAGAGTAAATTGTGGGTTCAAGCTCTAGAATTTTGAGCTCACAGTGTAGACTCCTGATCCAATGCAGCAATAGGAAAGTGTATGTGGAGTCCTGCAGCTCAGTGGTTAGAGCACTCGCCTCGCAAGGGAGAGAAGCTGGGTTCGATTCCCGGGCAGAGTGAAATGTTGGACAATTTTCCTTATTCCACACCCCTCTGTTTACCTAGCAGTAAGTAGAAACTTGGTTGTTAGTCGATTGGCAGATCGCTTTTCCGGGGGTAATAATTCCTTCAAAAATAAATCAAAATAAATTGGTCACTCTATCCAGGACTGTTTGTGGGACACTGCTGTGTACAATTGGCTGTCACGTTTCGCTCACAAAATACACATATAGTCAATTCACTTTAAAGTATATCCTGTGAAGCACTTTGAGACATCTCTAAGTCTTTCACTATCTGTGGTGCCTGGGGGAGGAGCATGACATTGACTGGGGAGGCAAGGAAGGAACCCAGGCTTTAATGGTTTTTACTGATGGCTGATAAGTGAATATTCTGGAGTTTTTTCCCAATTGCCTTTTGGTTCATGGAAGCTTCTTAGTCATGAGGTGGAGTGGTTGGGTTGGGTTGATGTATAGATTTTCACCCTCAAAACACACACAGTCACATCACTTTACAGTAAAGTATACCTGGTCAAGGACTTTGAGACGTCTTGATTACGTGCTAAAACGCTATATCAAATGCAAGGTTTATTGTTATATTATTGGCATTTCGCCTAGTTGTGGAAGAAGTGTGCTTGATGGACCAAGATGGCCTGTACTTGTTTCATGCTTTCTTGGGTACTTATGTGTCATCGAACAAGCCTCGCTTCATCTATAAAATATACAACACATAATGTCTTACAACCAACCAAAGCTATTTCCCCCGCAACATTTCACATTTCAATAAATAAATTATAACTTTCCCCCTCTAATGTTATACATTATTCATGACCTGAAAAAGGCAACATCTGAGCAGAACAAATAACAGATAAATTTGAATTCGGAAAAAATAATCATAGATACTCACATGGAATACTGTCTTCCTTGATAAACATTCCAGTTACTTCCTGAAACTCAGGTTTAACAATCACGAGGTTGGCTTAGGTGATTTATTTAAATATTTTGAGTATATTTGAATTGACATAGTTCAGCTATTTAGCAACACAACTCAGGAAAGCAGTCTGAACAAATCACCCGTGTTCATTGATTCGCAGATGAGTAAAATCAGTTTGGCTTTGTGAATAAAATCAGTTGACAGAAGCTGCAGAATGTCCTTAGTTAGCTGTCAGAAATCTTTTGTCACTCAGCTTCTGTAACTAATAATAATAATAATCCTTGCATTTGATGTAGTGCCTTATCATGTCATTAAGACGTCTCAAAGCACTACACAGAAATATAGTGTAAAGTGTAGTGACTGTTTATTTTGTGGGCAAAACCATGTGGATTATGTTTTAATATTCCCAGTGTGAATGAGCTGAGATTTAAGTTGGTAAACCATGCAGGGTAGCGTCTCAGATCGCTTAACAGTGGCAGAGCCTGATTCTGAGCTGGTGGGGAGGGAGTTGGCCGTAAGCACAGTGAAAGAGGAAAGTTTTCAGGTGCGACTTGAAAAAGGTGGATGGATTGAGGGAGAGTGTTCCAGAGTTTTGGAGCGTAGTTACCGAAAGCATGAGCAACAAGGGAGCTCATGCATTTAGACTGTTATTTTAGCATGGATTCAAAGACGATACAGCTCAGAAACGGGCCATTTGGTCCATGCAGTCAAACTGGTGTTTATATGCCACTCGAGTCCCTATTCTTGATCCTATCCCTGGTCCCTATCCCAACCTGGCTCAAAATTAACCCACTTGTAATAATAATAATAACCTTTACATTTGTTATAGCGCCTAAAGCTCCTTCACAGAATAATCTATGAAATGTGTAAGATTATACCAAGTATTAGAAACATAAGGATTAGTGACTGCAGAGTAAGAGTTAACAAGAAATGCTAGAATCTCAAAGAAACTTGTAACCTGATAAAGAGTTGTTTATTGCATAATAGTGCATGCCAAGTAGGGTATGTAAACATGTTGGATTGGGGAACAAAAGGTGAAGCGTGGGCAGCAGAGAGGAGAGCTTCCCAGTGGAATCCGATAATAATGATTTTACTGTATCTATTGTCTCAGTTTGAAGAATGAGTTAGGCTAAGCTGTTCAACATCCTGACTATTGTATTGCTTAAAAATCTATTGGACTATTACACAACCAATTAGTGGTCTCCTCCTGAATCCGTTACAAGTGCAGTGAATGTGTGTTTTGGCACCGCAGCCAATTTGCACACAGCAACATCCTACAAAGCCATAGAGCGAGTGACCAATTTTATCACAATGTTTAATGCCTGTAAAATTTTAACAGAAAGACAATTAGTGAACATTCTAAGCGATTTGAAGCTGCAATTAATGGTTTCACAGCTTCATTGTGAATTTTTAACTGCTGCTTGAATTAACTAGGCTGAAGCCCATATGTTAATTTAAGCTAAGTTTTACCAGTAGAATTGACACTTCCCCACATATTAACATCCTATAACAACACTGTTAAATGCAGTAAAGGGTCTTTGGTTTGCAACAACATCAGGAAAATGACATTTCCCTCTTGAAACCCACAATGGAACCTACTTCTAAAGATCTGGAATGACTTGCATGAAAGGGTTGGTGGAAACAGATTAGTAACACCGTTCAAAAGGAATTAGATAGGTACTTGAAAAGGAAACTTTGCAAGACTACGGGGAAAGAGTGGGGGGGGTGGGACTGATTGGATAGCTCTTCCAAGGAGCCAGCACAGGCCCAATCGGCCGAATGGCCTCCTTCAGTGCTGTAATATTCTATTCTATGATTCTACCACTTTACTTGGCAGGACATTCCACATGCCAACAACTCTATATGAAAAAAAATTCCTAAATTCTCCTAAGACTCCTCAGCTCTAATTCAAAGTGATGCAGAAAACTGGGAAAAGCAGTGTAGTGTGAGCATCTACTGCTCCCACCTGATAAAATGAAAGTTTACAAATTCAACAGCAATCTGATGGAATCCTTAATTGGTGACTGAAAGCCAGAATTGGTGACAAATTGGCTTAAGGTTTGAACTTTCCATTATGGTTGTTAAACAGATTCATCCTGACTTTGGCAATTGAGGGCCTTGTAATTATTATGATTTGTTTGGATGAGCAACAGGAAATAACACACTGGTACTTACGGCATTGCCATGTG